CAATAAACCATTCTTAGGAATTTTACAAAGATGTCATTCTTGGCACTTAAACTGAGAATCTATTGTGCCTCACCCATAATTTTCCATTTATGAATCCAGTTTAATTAGAAAATAGTTGATGAACAGTGTCTCCTTTTTTAAATGTAATTTGAAGTAGCAGATGGCAGACATGCACATTACCTGGGTGTCTCAATCCTTTATGCTTACTCATTCGCATGGGTCCTTCAGTGAAGCCAACTGTAGAAGGTGTGGGAGGCAGGCAAGCTGTATGGGGGGAACCCTGGGCTAATTTGGTTCATTGCTGCCACCTGCTGGGGCCTGGCTGCTGGTAGGGAAAGGCTGCCCAAGAGAGCTACGCCGTCAGAGCCTTCCTGCTAAGCAACATGTGTGTGGTTCCATTGCTAATCATTTATTATATTTCTAGATGACAGTGTACTAAAGAACTTTATGAATTGTACAGCATTACACCAATCAGTGTAAAATGGCATTAGGTTATGTTGGTAACACACAGTATTAAGTAGGGGTGAGACTGAGAACTAAGCAACCCACCAAAGATTCAAGCATCCTGGAGTATCAGAACTGGAAGAACCCTTAGAGGAGATATAGTGGACCTTTAATGTAATTAAATGAGGGACTTGTTAAAATGCAGATTCCTGGGCCCAAAATAGTGCTTACATAAGCTTCCCATATGATTCCGATGCAGGTGATCTCATACCATATGTGAGAAGCTGCCACTAGAGCTTCTTGGCCATTTCTCTAATTAGTGCCTCATTTCAGTTAATTTTTTAAAATTACATTTTCCATCAATGGGATGAGTCATCTCAATACTGTAACAGGTTCTTAGAAGCATACACACAAAAATTATTGTTGGATGGGTTTTTTTAAAAAATCACTTTTAAATAATTAATTTTTATTTCTCCATAAGAAGGAAATATTGCAGTTTATATTGGTCAGTTTACAGTGGAATGCTTACACCTTGGGTACTGACAAGCAAAGGTGAGAGTTTAGTATTACATTATGTGTCCATTGAATTTTCAGGGACCTAAATACCATAATATGGACTCTTACCTTTAGAGGAGCCAGGTACACAAAGCTGCAGCCCCCATGGTTTTAGTTTGTCTCATTATCACTTCTCACCCTGTCTTGGCAAGCTTGACCAACTTACATGTAATAATTAACACAAATAGTGGGGCTGGGGTTGTGGCTCAGCGGTAGAGCACTTGTCTAGCATGTGCGCACCCTGGGTTCGATTCTCAGCACCACATAAAAATAAATAAAGGTACTGTGTCCAACTACAACTAAAAATAAATATTTAAAAATAATAATAATAATTAACACAAATAGTAACTTTCCTTTCAACACAGGAAAAATAAGTAGCCTGGTATGCAAGTCTGAGAACCTACCTTAAAACTGAGAATTCTAAGGACATGTCAAGGAAAGTAAACTATAAGCCAATATCCCTGATGAACTTAGATGCAGAAATGCTTAATAAAATATTAGCAAATGAGGAGCTGGGGTTTGGCTCAGTGGTAAAAGTGCTTGCCTGGCATGTGTGAGGCACTGGGTTCGATCCTCAGCACCACATATAGATAAATGAACAAAGGCCCATCAAAATAAAAAATTTTAAAAAAATTAGCAAATAATGTTCAACACCATATTAAGAAGATTGTACATCACATCCATGTTGATTTTATTCCAGAGATGCAAGGATGGTAGGATGGTTTTTTAATATATGCAAATTAATAAATGTAATTGATCTCATAAATAGAATTAAGAACAAAAATCACTTTGTCATCTCAGTAGATGCAAAGAAGGCCTTCGAAAAAATTTAGCACCTATTCATGATAAAAACAATGAAGAAACCTACATCAGGAAGGCTATATATGAAAAGTCCAAATCCAACCTCAGAGTGAATGGTGAAAACTGAAAGCATTTTCTTGGAAATCTGCACCAAGACAAGGATGTCAACTCTCACCACTCCTATATAATATTATGCTAGAAATTCTAGCCAGAGCAAGTAGGCAAGAAAAGGAAATAAAAGTTATAAAAACAGGAAAGGAAGAAATCAAATTATCACTATTTGCAGATATGATCCTATACTTAGAAGACCCAAAAAATCCCATCAAAAGACTGCTGTAGTTAATAAATTCAGCAAAGTAGCAGGTTACAAAATCAACACACAAAAATTAGTAGCTTTCCTATATACCAACAATGAATCTGCTGAGGAAGAAGTCAGGAAAACAGTTCCATTCACAATAGCCTCAAAAAATACAAAATACTTAGAATAAATCTAATCAAGGAGGTAAAAGACCTCTACAATGAAAACAGTAAAACATTGAAGAAAGAAACTGAAGACCTCATAAGATGGAAAGACCTCTAATGTTCATGAATATGCAGAATTAATATTATTAAAATGGCCATACTGCCAAAAACAATCTATAGATTCAGTGCAATTCCCATCAAACTACCAATGACAGGGGCTGGGGTTGTAGCTCAGTGGTGGAGCATTTGCCTTGCACATGTGAGGCACTGGGTTCAATCCTCAACACCACATGAAAATAAATAAATAAAATAAAGATATTGTGCCCGTCTACAACTAAAAATATGTGTATTTTAAAAAATACTAGTGACATTCCTCACAAAACTAGAAAAAAACAGTCCTCAAATTCATTTGGAGGAGTAAAATATCCAATATAATTTTAGGTCAAAAAAGCCATGCTGGGGGCTGGGGTTGTGGCTCAGCAGTAAAGTGTTCGCCTAGCACACTTGAGGCCCTGGGTTCGATCCTCAGCACCACATAAAAATAGCTAAATAAAATTTTTAAAAGGTATTATGTCCAACTACAACTAAAAAATAAATATTTTTTTAAAAAGCCATGCTGGAAGCATCACAATATCTGATTTCCAATTATACTACAGAGTTATAGTAATAAAAGCTGCATGGTTCTGGCATTAAAATAGACACATAGACCAGTGGTATAGAACAGAAGACACAGGGACAAACCCACACATCTACAGTCATCTGATCCTTGACAAAGGTGCCAAAAACATACATTAGACAAAAGACTGCCTTTTCAACAAATGGTAATGGGAAAACTAGTTATCCATTTATAGAATAATGAAACCAGAATCTTAACTCTTTCCTTGCACAAAATTCAACTCAAAGTGGATCAAAGACCTAAGGAATTAGATCAGAAACTATGAATTCCTAGAAGAAAACATAGGGTCAACACTCCAGCATATAGGCAATGATTTTCTTAGTAGGACCCTTAAAGCTCAAGAGATAATGCCAAGCATTAATATATGGGATGGCATCAAATTGAAAAGCTTCTGCACAGTGAAGAAAACAATTTGGAATGTAAAGTGAGAATCAACCTACAAAATGGGAGAAAATATTTGCTACCTACTCTTATGGATTAATATCTAGAATATATAAAAAACTCAAAAGACTAAGTAACCCAATTAATAAATGAGCAAATGAATTAAACAGACACTTCCAAAAGAAGAAATACAAGTGGCCAAAATATATGAAAAATGTCCAACATCATTAGCAATTAGGGAAATACAAGTCAAAACTGCACCGAAATTTTGTCTCACCACTCAGAATGGCAAGAATACAAATAATAATAAGTTCTGGAGAGGAAAGTCATCATACTGTAGCAACGCATGTGTACCATGTTTTTTACATATATTTTGGGGGGTTGTGGATGGACACAACACTTTTATTTTTATGTGATGCTGAGGATTGAATCCAATGCTTCATGCATGCTAGGTAAGCTCTCTACTACTGAACTACAACCCCAGACCCATACCCATGTTTTTAGCCAGTAGCTAAACTCTGGAACCAGCATAGGTGTCCATCAATGGATGGATGGATAATGTGGTATATATACACAATGGAGTTTTATTCAGCCATAAAGAAAAATAAAATTATGTCATTTGCAGAAATTATTAATAATATATTAATAATAAGTGGAATAAGCCAAACTCAGGTGGTCAAGGGTCATATGTTCTCTCTTGGAGTGAAAATGGAGAGGAAAAAGGAAAAGAAGGACAAAAGGGTTGTAGGGATCTCATGAAAATCAAAGGAAGATAAGTAGAGGAAAGGGACCAGAAAGTGAGAGGCAGGGAGGGAGAGGGGAGGTGCTGGGGAGTAATATTGGCCAAATTATATTGTATATTGTGTGCATATACAAATAAATAACAATAAATCCCACCATTATTACAATTATAATGCACCTATAAAAATGTGGAAAAAGGAAAGAAAACTTTAAAAAATACTTGTTAAATAATAAATAAAATACTTTTACCAAAAATCTTGTGTGGATAAGATAAAAATATAAAAAAGAACTGAGAATTCTAAATATCTGTCACATGTTTGCTTCATTGAATATTATCTTTCTATTCCAAAAAATGCTTGTTATTTTTGATATATGCTCCTGCTTCCAAAACTACTGATTCCAATCTGACTGTAAACTGAGACCTTGAAGCCATTGACCTCCCGGGCAAATTACACTTGATGTATTAGGTCATGTTAATAAATCCTGAGCACCAATAATTTCCAGTGTATTTTCCTCTAGACATATTTACTTTTCCTTTTAAGTTTTCAAATTGTTGCTTTTAGGACGTTCAGCCCCTTTGATGCAAATGACATATATTTAATGAGGTATTATATATCATAGGTGTAGAATCAAAAGGCAAGCTGGGCATGGTGGCACATGCAGCAGCTCTGAGGCGGGAGGATCATGAGTTCAAACCTTGAGACTCTATCTCTAAATAAAATATAAAAAAGGGCTGGGGATGTGGCTAAGTGGTTAAGAATCCCTGAGTTCAATCCATGGTACCAAGAAAAAAGAGAAAAGGCAGTTTATTTAATCTCTTTATAAAGAAATCTTGAGCTTTTATTAGCTTTATAATTTTTATTACTCATAAATATGCCTTGACATTTTTGTTTTCTGTCTTTATATCTCATCTTTGAAGTTTTTTCTTTCTTTTTTTTAGGGATATCTTAAGGACATCTTGAAAGAAATTGGAATTCAGAATGTAAAAGGAATCCACAAAAATACGTGGGAGCTGAAGCCAGAGTACAGGCATTATCAAGGAGAAGAGAAGAGTGACTGAGAGGCCTTGTAGCCAGAATGCTGATGGAACAGCTGAGTGGTGATGCTAACCAACAGCCCTGTTACCAGGAAGCTTGAGCATCCTGTGTTAAAAGGAGTAAAATGATTGGTACTTTAGTTTCTTTTAGTAAATTTTTTAAATCTGTAATTCTATAAATAATTTCTTAAAGTGTTTTTTGAAAAAGGACAAATTTATTTATAGACTTGTATTAAACTTGTAAATTCATGATGGGGATAGGGGTTAGGGATTAAGAGGGCTTTTCATTTTAAATGTTAACTTTTAAAATGTTAAGATTTGGAAATGTTTGCTAAATGAAGACTTTGTCCTTGCTGCCTCTCTGAGAAACTAAAGTAACTCAGGTCCAAAGTGAATGATATACAAGGAAAAAAGGTCAACTACAGAAATCATTAAAAGGAATAAATAACCAAAGCTTCTTTTTTCTGAACTTGTTCAAAAATGAAGTTGCCTTTTTAAAAAAAGTGATCATATTTCATGTTCATTGGTACATTAATAAAAGACATTCAGTTCATAGTAGAATGACAATTTTTATCATTAGCTTATTTTATTCTAGTGATTGATAAGCAGAATGAACAAAATCATTGTCAAGTCATGTGTCTTTTGTTTGCTTTTAAAATAAGTAAAAACTGAATACCTGTCCAAAATTTCTAGATTTATCTTCTTCAGGCAGATTATAAACTTTCCAAAGACTGGCTTTGCCTGCAGAATTTCACTGCCCATTCAGCAGGTACATATTGACTTCACCTGGCAAGTAACACTGCCAACTAAAGGAGGGTTGTAGTGGTGCAATGGAGACTGAAAAGGTTAGTGTCAGTTCCTAGAGCGTGAAAATGTTTCTTTTATCTTTCTGTTTAATATTTAAATGAGCAATACAAGTACATGATAAAATTTTTCTGACATAAAATGTTGTATATTAGGCAATCCAAAATCATACCCACCAACAAAACCACCCAAAAAAAGGAGTTTTAGCAAACTAAGCACAGTGAAAAGTTGTTTAAAACATGAATTCATTTTGTCATTTAGGATATTTGCAATCAAAAAGTGGCAAATGCCAAAATTTTAAGAAAATATTACATCATTACAGCAAGGAGATAGCTTTCCATTGAGAGAAATAATGTTCTGTATGATTTGCTTTTAGCAGCAGAACAACAGAATTCTGAAGTGGAGTGCCACTGTACTAAGAAAAATTTTATCTTTGCATTCCCACCATAAAATACAACTGTGATTAAGGAGGGTGGTCTCATTCCTCACCCCACTTCAGTTGTCATATCCTACCTTGTTCTGGTGCAGGAGGCAGATATGGTATGCCCATTACCTCCTCTGCAGATGACTGGAAGCCCAGTCATCGAAAGCTCTCAGATAAAGGTATCGCTCTATAGAAATGAGAATTCTGGGTACCTGCCATGTGCATGGTGTATTACATAGGATGTATCTTCCCACAAAACTTGCCCTTTTTTGCTGTATGATACTGTCCTGAAACACAGAAAATGTCTCCTCTGTATTTGTTTTGCTTTAGTTAGGACAGTCTCGCCAAATTGAACTTGGTAGCAGTTCCATTCGAGTTTCCGAGGCACAGCTGTGTCTTATTTGAAACTGTGCTTTGTTGTTGTTGTTGTTTTTTAATATTTATTTTTTAGGTGTAGTTGGACACAACACAGTGCCTTTATTTTTATGTGGTGCTGAGGATCGCACCCGGGTCCCGCCCGTGCTAGGCGGGTGCTCTACAGCTGAGCCACAATTCCAGCTCAGGTATTTTTTATAAAACTTCTTTCTTTAGCTTCCCATAGTTGCTTTTTACCTCATCATACCTGATTGCATCTGCTTGGGTCTCTAAAATATCAGTTATTTCTTCAGTAGAATAATTGATCTAGATGGTAGACTAGTGCCAGTCCTCATTCATTTTTTGGATTGAATCCACTGCTCTACCATTTCTTTCTTTCTTTCCTTCCTTCCTTCCTTCCTTCCTTCCTTCCTTCCTGCCTTCCTTCCTTCCTTCCTTTCTTCCTCCCTTCCCTCCCTCCCTAAGTTGCTCAAGATGGCATCAAACTGGGGATCCTCCTGCCTCAGCCTCCCACATAGCTGGGATCACAGTTATGCACCACTGCTCCCAAATCCTTTATTCTTCCATTTCAGGACTCTCTTGCTCTGACAAACATGCTTTCAACAGCTAAAACTCAAGAAGTAGGAACCCTAAACTCATAAAAAAAAGTACTGTGAGATTCAGAGAGAAAAAGGCTGATAATAAAATGTCACATCAGAAGAGTACAGGAAGGCCATATTTATGAACCTCAACTTCTGCACTTGCTTAGGAGATGTTTTAACTGACAGAATAATATTAAGATTTGGTTGCTGGACATTAGAAAGATTTCAATTGCATGTTGCTACAGTAACTTACAAAATGGTGTAAATTTAAAAAGAGGACAGATTTTGCTCTGTTTTATCATGAGCAAGCTCTGAAGGATTTCAGCAGTTCTTAATGGTCTATGAACAGATTTTTCTTGAAGCTTATTTTCTTTATTGGTACGTATCAGTGAAATAATAGTAAACACTTATCAGGCCCTCTGTGCCTAGTAGTGAGTTAAATGCTCCAAAATATTATATTGTTTAATCCTTCAAGATTATGCTGAGGCATAGGTAATGTCCATTTTATGGAACCATTTCCTGCCTAATATCTCTAGAATGTTGGTCCCCCTTTGTAGGAATCCTACCCATGGGGCAAAATCAGAGTGTGTTTTTCCAAATTCTCTCCCCATCACCTCATTTCACCTCCAAATCAAAAAAAATGGAGCTGATCTAAGAGAATTTCAAAGAAGGATCTTAACCTTTGGTATCCCTAATTGAATTCAGACACCAAATCTCATACCCACAGGATGAAGACTGCCCTTAAATTCAGGATCCTTTTGCTAAAGTTTAAATCTCTGTTCCACTTCAAGTGGAGGGTGGGATGAGAATGGACCCAGTATGACAGCCCTCTGAGTGGAGGTTGCTGGTGGTGAGTGTTCAGAGGGGTACTGGACTGAGCTGCCAGATCCTCAGATGGCACAGGCTCACTCCACTTTGTTTCACAGGATGCTGCCCTGTTTTCTCTAGTATTCCTACAGGAGTCTGGGAAATAATGAGATTTGAATTTGACTTTTGAATTCTGCTTTCTTTCTAACACAAGTCTAGAGCAGGTTCCTGAAGCCTAATGAAAGCATTTGGATAAGGTGTTTTTAAAAAAAGGGATCGGAGGTCACTTTCTTCACACACACACCCACACACACACACCCGCCTTTGCTTTGACTCAGGGTCTAACTAACTGCTCAGGCTGACTGTAAACTTGCAGTCCTCCTGCTTCAGCCTCTCAAGAGGGACAGAAGTCATTTTAACCATACTCCTAGTTTTTCCTCCTCCCTTTCCTTTGAGTATGTGTCATCATCCATAATGTTTGTTATAAAGACAAATCAGGGCTTTTATCTGATTGTTAGAACCCATATAATCTAATAGGACTGTTCAGATGCTTTAGGTTCCAATTTAAACCGGATTCTTTTACGTCATTTAATCTTAAGTTTTAGGGCTTTTAAGAATTATTTTCTTATGGGCTGGGGTTATGGCTCAGTGGTAGCATGCTCACCTAGCATGCATGAGCCACTGAGTTCGATCCTCAATACCACATTAAAAAAAATAAAATAGGGCTGGGATTGTGGCTCAGCAGTAAAGCGCTCACCTAGCACGGACAAGACCCAGGTTCAATCTTCAGCACCACATAAAAATAAAGGCATTGTGTTGTGTCCATCTACATCTAAAAAACAAATATTTTTTAAAAAATAAAGAATTATGTTCTTAAAGTGTACCATATCTTAAAATGTTGAAATGTGTATTTAAATTGTCTTAAGAGAATGAATTTTTTATTGTGCTGTGGATCTATAAATTCAGCAAGAGTATGTTACTAAGCTAAAAACCATAATCTGGGGTGGTCATGAAACACAATGGCTGTTTACTAATTTGGCAGGTATTAGTAAATGTGAACATGTCCCATGCACACACAAAGGAGTTTACAGGGCTGGTCCTCTTAACATTTAAGCCTTGCTTCTGGTTACCATTCCGTTGTCTCTTCTTCAACAAAGCCTATTTTAAGCTACTTTGCCAACTCATTAATTCTTACCACAACGGTTTAGCATGGGCTCTCTTCTCCTTGTTTTTTAGATACGAATCCTGCAACACCGAGAGGTTGAAGAACTTGTCCAGGGTTATACTGTAGCCAGGGGCAGAGACTGATTCATATTCAGTGTGGCCACCATTGGTGTGTTGGGTAGTGAGCACACACTGCATTGAGCCCAGAGCAGTAATTCACCTTCCCAGACCCTCTCCTCACTCGTAGGGAGCAGTCTCAAGAGTTATGTTTCTTCAACAAAGAGTTGCTTCTGGATGATGCATCAGTTGTTCCACCTTAAAGGTTCAGTTTCCAGTTCCTACTCAGTTTGTGGAGTTTCCTGCTTGTAGAATGATGTTCTTTTTTTGTTGTAGATTCCACATGAGGAGATATTTCTCAAGAATGATTACCAGTGGCCAATGTATTTTATTTACTTATATCCTAGACCACCAGTGATTCTTCAGTGCCAGGCTCATGAGAAAGTTTCTGGTGTGGTTAGTCATAGTTGGTGGTCCTTGCCTTGGCTCAAAGAGCACCAAGGAAGTCCCTCATCTTGAGACTCCAAAGTAGCAGGGATATAGAGATGAACAAATAAGATAGGTCCTTGCCTTCAGGGACTTATGATATTGAATAAGACATGGAAACAGATACATGGCAACATAGATTATTAAATACGTGGAAGAATGTTTTAAGAGCTAACTGGATTCAAAGCCCATGACTTAGAGGAAGTTGCTTACTCTCTGTGCTTCAGTTTCAGTATTGTAAAATATGGCTAATTGGGTATTTGGAGGAACAGGAAAGCTTCTTAGAGGATTTAATGTCTGGGTTGGGTTTTGAAAGAGTCTAGAAATTCATTAAGAATCAGCAAGCAGGAATTACAGGGAAAAAAGTTTAAGGGCATCAGAATAACCTTCCTACATGAGATGGGTGAAGTGAGAGCCCACACATACTTGTAGTTTACTGTCAGATACAGGAGAATAGTAAAAAATTGTGGACAGACAAGTTGAGCCCTGACTCAATATGA